TCCGTCAGTTTACGTGGCCTACCACCTCGTGGCTGAGTTGCTGTTGTTCCCAAACTCTTCCATTTTGTTATGATAAAGCTGACAGTTGACTGTGGAATATTTAGGAGCGAGGAAATTTCACGACTGGATTTGTTGCACAGGTGGCATCCTATGACAGTTCCACGCTGGAATTCACTGAGCTCCTGAGAGCGGCCCATTCATTCACAAATGTTTGTAAAACATGCCTAAGTGCTTGATTTTATACACCTGTGGCCAGGCCAAGTGATTAGGACACCTGATTCTGATCATTGTCACCAGTGACAATCATCAGTGACCGAATACTTTTGGTAATATAGTGTATATATATAATGGGAAAAATTTAAAATAAATGAAAAAAATAAATCATTGACACTATTAAAAGCTAAAATACAAACAGAGCCTTACTGCTGCCTGAGAGAATATATGGTGCCTCAGAAGCTCCTGAAGTTTGTGCTTGGCCTTTGGGAGAGAAAGATATATGTTGAGCAATGAAAATAATAAAATTCTTGCTTGAACTGAAACCTATACATATATATATTCACACTGAATACTTACATCCTTTAGCATGTATATAATACTACCATCCCTAGATCTGTCCACGGCTTTATTGGTTGGGACAAACAGTGTGAGTGGCCCTGGACCTTGGAGAGGCATTGGAGCTCCACAGTTCTATAACACAATATCAAATCAGGTGAAAGCTCCAGTTCAGTTAGAAAAAGCCAGACAAGCATTCATCTGATTTTATTTGAAGAGGTTGAAGACCCTGATCATCCAAAAGTTCAGAAAAAAAGTAAAAAACACTCACATCTATCAGAGATACAAATCTATTGAATCTGGCGTCTTCTGCAAGAATGTCCCCGATGGTCTTTGAAGAGAACTACAGTTGCATAACAGTATGATTTAGAAAACAATAGATGCCACTTAACGATTAATGGAAGAAATGATTTCTCCAAAAATCTAATTTTCACAAATTAACTCAAATGTAGTTGATCAGCCAAGGTATATTTGGTATTTAAAGTCATCATTTTAATTTTGGGTCATATATTGTATCTTATTTGAGTCTGATACCAATAAAATGCTAAGGAAGGCTAAGAGATTTGTGCTTCAAGATGTTTTAGAAAGCACAGAGGGTCTATATGTGATATATATACATATATATATATATATATATATATATATATATATATATATATATATATATATATATATATATATATACTGTTTGTGTTGGATTCTCAATACATTTCCTATAACTGCAAAGGCAAAAGGCTCATGTTAATGCCATTGTTCAAATACATTTTTGTTTCTATAGTAACGACTTACACAGGAACATGAAGTCCACATGAACAGATTTTAAAAATGAATGTAATTTTTGTAAAAATGAATGTAATTATATGGTATAGTTTTCTGTGAAAACATCACGTTTTTTTCACTTTGTACTTTTTTTTGTCCAGTCTGGCACACGGAGATACAGTTGTAACCTTTGTAGCTGTAAGTTTTCTGACATTGGAAATTGTGGTTTCTTGGTAACTGCATTTTTTATTTATTGTTTTATTTCTTACTTACTGAAGAGCGCGGCACAGATTGAGGCAAATATATGATGGTTTAAGCATGCACTTTGTACAATGCTAACCTGGTTAGATGCTAGAAGCATCTATTTGTTAGCTTAGCTGATCAAATACATTTGGAGTTAGGGGAACATTGTGTAAATGAAACTTTTTATTATTCTTTAAGACAGAATTCCAATCATTATTTTACCTCAACACTGTCAGAAGTGTCTTTAATAGCAAAAGAAAACAGTTTGTCCACTATATGAATAATTCCATTGGATGCAGGTATGTCACTCTTGATTATCGTGAATGGTGTATCAGGATCATTTTTTGAAATAAACTTCTGCAAAGCACAAACAAAAATCAGCTGTGAATAGACACAGACAATCATATGTAGAACAAAATTGTAATTTTAAAATCGTAATTCACCTTGTTTGGTTTAAATCTCATAATTTCCCCTCCATATGTCCACAAATCTTGTCCCTCCAAATCTTTGTAAAGACGTTGGCCAAGAATGAGGTGGTGTTTGCAGATGGCTTCTGCTCTTCTTGCCTGGTTAAGTTTGCTTATAGATAGCTACATACACACATTTCATTATATAGAGATTAATTATATAAATACCGAAAGATTATACACAATTTAAATCAATCTGAGGAAACTCTAGGTCCTCAGCCTTAAACATTCTCCCATCTCTCAGCTGCGTCTGATACCTTGAATCACCAGATCTCCTTATTTCCATTTTCCTGACTTTATAAGCTCTCCTGGGTTTGTTAAGATCAATTTTAATCTTTAAATAACAAACACAGGAATCTTTGGGGTGGTGGTCATAGGGGGGTTGTGATAATTTTATGACCTAAAAACAGAGTTACTGGGTAAAAAGTTTTATGTAAAAGTTGCCAAAAAGTATTTACATTGCCCTCTGAAAGTATTGGAATGGCAAGGCAATTCTTTGTTTTTGCTATACACTGGAGACCTTTGGGTTGAAAAGATGACTACAAGACGATAGATCAGAATTTCAGCTTTAATTTCCTGATATTTACATCTAGATATGTTAAACAACTTAGAAGATGGCACCTTTGGTGGCAGACCGCCCAATTTTTAGGTGACCAAAAGTATAGGAACAAACAGTCTTAAAGTAAATTAAAGTAAATAACACTTAATATTTAGTTTCATATCCTTTGCCTGCAATAAGAACATCAAGCTGGTGACCCACTGACATCACCAAACTGTTGCTTTCTTCTTTTTTGATGCTCTCCCTGGTACTGCAGCTTCTTTCAGTTGTTGTTAGTTTTGGGGGTTTCTCTCTTCAGTCTCCTCTTTGGGTTAAGGTCTGGTGATTGACTTGGCCAGTCTAAAATCTACCACTTTTTTCCCCTGATGAAGTCCTTTGTTGTGTTGGCAGTGTGTTTGGGTCATTGTCTTGCAAAGTGATGAAGATTCTCCCATTTAGATTGTATGCAGTTCTCTGTAAATTTGCAGACAGAATGTTTCTGTAGACTTCTGAATTCATTTCATCTTTGGCCTTTCCATTACTTTGGTAGAGGTTAATCTTGGTTCCATTCTTACTGCCGACGAGTGGTTTGCATCTTGTAGTATGGCATCTATATTTCTGCTTTCAGAATCTTCTTCAACTGTTGTTTTTTGGGTTTTTCTTCACAGCTCTCACAACGTTTCTCTCATCAACAGAATGCCTGTTTGTTAGTACACCAGTGGTTTCCTTCTTTTTCAGGGCATGCCAGATTGTTGTATTGGCTATGCCCAAAGCTTGTGCAATGGCTCTAATAGTTTTTCCCTCTTTCTCAGCTTCAGAATGACTTTGCTTTTTTTCTTCTATACACAGATCTCTGGTCTTCATGTTGGTTTAGCCTTTTTAACAACAAATGCAGTTTTGACAGGCAAAACCCAGGGCTCAAACCAAAAGTAGACATTCAGAGCTATTAACTGTTTAAACAATCAATCTACCAGGACACACCTGGGCAACAAGTAACACCTGTCAGTCATATGTTCCAATATTTTTGATCACATAAAAATGGTTGAGTTCAAATAAAAGGTTGTACGTTGTTTAACACATCTAGATGTAAATATCAGGAAATGAAAGCTGAAATTATGATCTATTGTTTCATATTCATCTTTTGATCTCAAACCCAAATGTCTTGGCCTTGCTGTTCCAATACTTTCGGAGGGGTCTGTAAGTATAAAGGTCCTTAGAATTTGCCATTTTTAGTTACAAACTAGACCACATTTGCATTTGTGCAAATCAGCACTTGCCTCTAGTCTTTCAGTATCATTCAACCTTCTGCTGCTTGCAGTTTTTATGAGGTGTGGATAAGAGCCTATGCTAAATGACAAAATCTAAAAGTAAGATATATATCAGTGACTAGTAAATAAACAGCCAAAACCAGAATCATAAAGAATGAAAAAGATTAAAATAAAAAGCAACTAAATTTACATTTACTTTTACTCACTTGGGATGTATCCACTGGGATGAATGCTGTAAATGGCCCATGTTTGCTCAGAATGAGCTTACATCCTCTCTCTATAACAACAAAACACTGTGTGTTGATTACATCGTCTCTGATTAAAAATATCTGCAGTGTGAATAAGTTCTAGAGAGGAGAGACAATCTGCACATAATGTCAGCAGCACTACCGAACAATGCAATGCTTCCGGTGAGGTTTCCTGCATGGCTGCCTTCCTGATCCAGTTCCAAAACACGCTCCATGATATCTCCATAACAGCGCCACCCATCGCTGATCTGTCCCTGAATGCAAACACACCTAAAAAACAGGACAGTGGTTTAGATTCTCACAACTATGTACAGGGCACAAGTCTCAGAATCTTTGAAGAATTTGAATGTTAATCCAATTTCGTCAATGATTACGTAGTTACATAATAGCTCCAGTGTACTACTGACTGCCCATGTGTTTCTATGCACAGTGTCTCAGGTGCCTCTACCCTGTCCATCAATGGAAATATTCCACCACCACCACTGGGTAATATTTTGGGTGATAGACCAAGTATAGTACTAATCCTAACCAAACACAACTACATTTTGCAACACAGACAAATTAAAAAGATATAAGCCCTAATTTACTAAAGCTTTCTTTGTTTTCAAATGAACAAAATAAACCATCGTATCCAATTTTAGCATTTGCTGTGAATATGCTATTTGGGTCATTTTGCATACCTAAAGCTGCTACAGAATGGTGCCAATTCAAATCAATTAATTTTTCACCCACAATGCTTTATTAAGTCTGAAAGTCCATCCATCCATTGCATGGCAGGGCACAATCGCGCACACACTACAGACACTTTGGAAATGCCAATCAGCCTACAATGCATGTCTTTGGACCGGGTGAGAAAACCAGAGTAACCAGAGAGAACTCCCAAAGCACACAGAGAACATTCAAACTCTGCACACACAGGGCAGAGGTGGGATTCAAACCCTTGACCCCAGGGGTGTAAGATAACAGTGCTAACCACTAAGCCACCATGCCCCACTAAGGCTTAAAGTCACTTCAGAAATGGCAGCTGTGTGGGAATCTCCTACACACTGGAGATTTAATTAGCAAATGCAAAAATCTCAATAAAATTGCTACCTCACCCAATTCACACAGTTATTTATTATAAATCACTTAACACACAACTGTGTGCACAGCTTATCCAATACCACACACAAATTGGAGCTTGTTATTTTGCATCTTAGTAAATCAGGGCCATAGTGTATTATCAAACCCGAAATGATGCAATAAAATCATTAAAAATGTGTGCAATACTGGACACGTTTAGTACTCCGTGGTCACAGCCTGCTCTAGTGCAGGTAGTGGCACCATCAGAGGTCAATGCAGTTTGAATTTGTCTAAAAACTACAGTTATTCCTGTGGAGCTCAATTACATGAGATACTGTACTTATCATTTCCAGTTAGTGCAAAACACTGAATTTGAGAAGTTACAAAAATCATCACAAAAATCAAAAGTACATTTGAGACTCAGAATGAGGCTAGTCACTTATGTATTAACAAATTGCCTTTAACTAAACTCAGTTTTCTTCAGGAGGAATTGGAAATGCCACTAAATTGGAGAGAGTAAAGAGCTAAGGCAGACCTGGCTATTACATCTTGGCCAGTTTCACATCGTGCACTCCTGTGGCATGTGTTCTCCTTACAGGCAGATTTCAGCCTACAGCCAGCACGAGGGTCTGATCCTTCCATCCCACTCTGACATACACATACTGACTGACAAGACAGACATACACATATTTATCAGAAAACTAACATGCATTGCCACAAATATAAATAATTGCATAAAGTTATTACATGGAAAGTAATCTATATGAAAGTTATGTGCTGATAAGAAGGATTTATTGGCATGAAAATAAAGCTAATGCTCACCTGGCCTGGTCCTGTGTTTTCACAAACAGTGGAGTTTGTTGGACAGCCTCCATTATTCCGAGAACATGAGTTGATCGGGGTGCAGAATTTGCCATCTCCCTCGAAGCCAGTTTTGCACGTGCACTGAAATTGCCCTGCCTTGTACGAACAATCTGCATTTATGTCGCAAATATCCTTGCTGCAAACACCTGAAATTGGAGGTGCAATGTCATGAGCAATATGATATAATCAGGTTTGGCATGTCTACACAACTGTCAGTAAAACCAGCTGAATGTAACAAACCATTTCATGTAGCTTTGTTAGGAAAATATTTTTAGGGGTCTTTTTATGTATATAGATTAAGCTAACCACAGAGACATGTTTTCATAACCTTGTTTTTACCCATCTTAAGCGATTAAGCTTCCTGTGTAATTTGTTTTTCGAATAATTGGCGAATTCCCCCCATTGCCTTAATAACACCAGAGAGAGTTCTTGTCAATTTTAGCCCCTCGTCCACTGACTGGCTGTGCAGTTCAGGTAGACTTTGTGGTGCCTATTTTGGGTTGTCACTTGCTGTTCCCAATAATCTGTAATCTATATCTATATCTAGATATAGATATATATATATATATATATATCAATAACATTTTCTATGGGATGGGTCTTGTGATTTTGCCAACCTGAATGTCAAAATGTCCTAACAAGTCACACTTGTTCATCCTGTTTTATGCTATGATATATCATCCAAGTGTGGAACCTGTTGACATTGTCTGTGGATTACTGGATACAATAAGGGTGGATTTGGATAATAACACATCAGCAATCCAAATGATCATGACAGTATGTAGTTTGGGAACAAATCTACAAACTCAATCGTATGCTTTGAAGAGTTCAAATCATTTTCCCAATGTAATGTAAAATATGTCAGACTGACTCAGAATCCAAAGATGAGATCTTTGTCCACCAAACATTAGGGAATTGACAATGTATTAGAATGGTAGGTTTAATTATAGACCTGTGTGTACTGCTCGCTATTACTCTAAAATATTTTTACCACAATATTTTGGCAACCATATAGTCTATAAAGTCAAACATATAACAGCATTTTCAGAAAGCACCAGCTATTTTATTCAGTCTATGGTGGATGAGAGCAAATGTGATTTATGTCATTAATTGTTCTTTTTTTCCCCTTTCCATATCAATTCTATTACAGTCCAGATTTCCTATTTCAAGTAAACACAAGTAGGGATATTTTCAGATAAGCCAAAAGCCGACTATTTTTAGACTGTATATTTCTACATCTGTTATATCCAAAACAATCAACACATCTTTAGGTTTTAGTGTTGTGCAGTAAAATGAATTTAAAGCAAATATATGATGAAAATGTACGAACATTGGCTCATTTTCACCTGTTCATGCATATGACATGCAATATGTAATCTGAAATGTCTATCATGTTAAAAGAACTTACCTACACAGAAGAGTCCAACCTTTGAAAAGGATGGAAGGCATTTGCACTGAGCAGTC